TTTCCCGGGTCCTCCTTCTTCCCCTTTTTGAAGATGGGAACCACGTTGGCCTGCACTGTTCAATCGATTCAGGCTCAGATTTTTTTTGCTCTCTGTACTTACCAAGAACTGTTTACCAGTTTCTTGACAAACTGGTTTAAGCAGAGTATGTTGTAGCTTGAATATCCCTGAATGTACCTCAGCTATATTTCATGAGGGGAGAGGCAATTTCTCAAGTAAACCTCCCAAAAACATTTAGAGATTTTTCCGGTTAAGACCCACAGTTTAAACTCCATCTGGAAACTTACTGGCTGCTGGTTTAGCTCAACATGGTCCTCATTACTACAACTAGCGCTGACTTCTTAATGTATTAATGAGCCTCCCTGTGGATAATTTTGTATTTCTTTAATGATGCTGGGCAGGAGTCTGTTAGCTTGATTATCTAGCTTGAAACTACTTAAAAGCAGCAACTGAAGGTTTAATCACCTTTAATTTTTTTTGTGAAACTTGCAACAAACGTTCCTTGGGTAGATGTGTGCAGAGTGTGGTAAGACGAAGCCTTTTTTTCTCCTCTAAATTGCTCTTTGAAATAGCTTTTGTCTGCTGACCATAAGCAACCAAAAACTAAAACAGCTCATTTATACAGATGAGCAGACACAGCGCTTGCTGAGTGGATAAGGAGTAGTACTGTAATAGTGCTGGTTAACTTGCACTGAGTACTACTGCTTGGAACACACCCCATTAACATTTATCTCATGGAAAGCTTGCACCTACTCTTTCCTGCAGCTGGAGGTGAGATGCTGCAGTACCAAAATGTGGAAGGGAAAGAGGGTCAAATTCTGTAGAAGAGGTGGGAGGTAGGGAATGGACAAAATGAAATTTGCATTAAAAATGTTAAGAGCGGAACTGTCTTTTGATTACTATGCCTTTTCAGTTCCTTATTTAATTTGGCCCTTAGCATTTTCCTATGAATATGGACTTCGCTCAATGTCCATAATTGGCTGGATTTTGTGTCTGCATTTTGAAAAGCTATAATTAAATTTCATGATATCTTTGAGTTCTTTTTACAAGTTAATACAAAGAATGCTACAGCTATGCCAAATTTGCTGCTAAGGGAGAGTGCTGCATAGTGTCAGAGTGCCTTGGGAAATTTACGGAAAATTTCTTAGCATCCAATTAATTCTTTAGTGGATTCTCTGGAAGCTTTATAGTGAAATCCCTGGCATTGTAGTATCATCTCCTTCAGCCAAACCTTTCATAGAAGACTTGTAAATATTTAAATTGCCATATTCAAAAGAAACTCTGAAATTTGCTCAATAATAGATAAACCTCAAAAATCATTGATATATACTCAAGTTCAGATGCTTTAAGATGAGAGAAATTGGGATTGAGTTTTGTGGATGTGGCCCTTTAAATATTTAAAGCAAGTGGTCTCAAGTCTGTGGGTTTCTCATAAAGCCAAGCAGTTAAAAACATACTGCAGTTTATGTTCTTAACTGTGGTTAAACCAGACCGTTGGTAAAGTGAGACTAACGGCATCATACACTATCAATTTAGTGAAATGCTTACACTGCTGTGCTGTCATGCTTTTTGTGGATAGAGTTTTGGTTTTTCTTTTTTGTTTAGGGGCCTTGCATAGTTTGCTGACAGATTAACATTCCATGTTGCTTTGAATCTCAAATGTGATTTTAAGTTGCCACAAATCAATATTACTCTAATGTAACTGTCAAAAATACTTTTTGCAGTAATGATCATATTAATAAACTGTGTTGCGAATAATCAATATAGAATGAATTAGAATGGTACCTAATCATCCACTAAAATTGGACAGGAAAGATGTACGCTTCTACGGATTGCTGAATAATCTGATATAAGGTGGTGTATGCGAGATCTCCACACATAATACTGACAAATGATATCAAAGTGTTTTTGTTCTTTTGTGTAGTGAAGAAGCATGCAGCATTACTTTTTTCTGCTGTAAAATCTTGGAGGGAATCTGTATTGCTCTAATGTTTCAGCACCCATACATTGGTTCAAATCGTGTTCAACTCGAGAGTAAGTGAAGATCATTTTGTGATAAAATTTGGACTGTGAAATCAGTTACTGCTGTAGATGCTAGGCAGGAGGTATCCACACTGTGAAAGAACCCATCATAATTGGGACTGAGCAAGGAGATGAACTCTGTGCGC